ATGTTTTTATAAGTGGCTATATACAGTGATTTTTATAGATATCATATCATCCCTGTAACACATTGTGTTACTTCCTTGAGCTATTCAGAATATTTAAATCAGAATCAGAAATAAAAAAGAGCCCAGTACCCTCCAAATCTGTAGCCGAGCTTCTAGGACTTTCTGTCTGAACTGTTCAGGGAGGGGTACATGTCATATGTCTCATAGGAAGGTGGTAAGCCATCGACTCCAGGGGCAGCTGGATTTTGTAGAAAGCTTGTCCCTTCTGGAAAGTCAGAGTTTGGAGATGCTTCATATCCACTGGCTGAATAGTCAGACGACTGCTGCTTATCAGACCCCTCTAAAGCGGGCAGGATGATTATGGGGAACTTGATCTCTGGGTCTGAAGCATACTTCACATCCAGATGGACCTAGAAAGAGTCCGTGCTTATTAGACTCGTAATGCATACTTGATTAAATAAAGATATTAACAAGGCCTGGGAAATACTTTCAGGAAGATGAAATAGGCCTACTCACCCGGAGTCTGTACTCTAATTTGATGATGTTGCAGTTTAGGACTGAGGCAGTCTCGGTGGAAGGGACGGTGATGATCTTGGTGACTGTCTGGTGACTGACTGTGGGATGGCTTCGCCCTCCTCTTTCAGGATGTCTTTTGTTTCAAGTTTCCTTTTCTTATTTGCAAAGTAGCTGTACTTTCTGTAGAGACAGTACTTGAGTTTAATGTCACAAGAGGATTTGTTCTGAACTGAAGCCACAACCTTTATGTCTTCTCCTGGAAAAACAACAACATCAGGTTAAAGTTCTGTCCTACAATATAATTACATTGATGTTATGCTGCATACAAAGCTGTTGAGCTGTGGATTTCAGTATTGCAAACTTTTAAGAGTTTAAGCTGTGTCATCATCTGTTTGATCTTTGTAGGAATGAGTTCGCAAAGGTTTTAAGATTTTCTATATTTCTGTAAAAATATAACACATTTCACATTTAACCAACATGTGCACTACATGCCTTATCTATCATCATAGTCTATCTTCAGTCATAAAAGGATTCCCTGTGGAGTGAATGTATATTTCAGTAATGTGAAATTGCGAGCAAGTCATAATTACCTTGGAGGAAGGCTGTTTTTGGAATGCTTACATCCATGGCCACTGATCCTGATGTGAAGAGGTTCATCTTCTTATCAGTCATATTTTGCTGTGGACTCTGAGAAGAAAATCACAATTTATGTACATGCAGTGTTAATTCAGGAGTGTAACATATGGCAGTTTGTAAGGGTAGCATAACCTCTCCATCAAGGTTTCTTTTGTGGATGAGAGTGAACTGCCTTTGCTTTGCTGTCTTTTCTCACTGAGCGGCTCAGATTTGCCTCCAATCTATACACAATCTTTCCATGTGAGCCCCTGAAGGAGGAGGGCAGCTCTCTGTAAGACAGGACAATACTATTAACAAATCAAAGTGGGTGAGTGGAGGGATATCATTTAAGGGAAAATTGAAAACACTCAAGAGTGCTTATCCTTATAATAATAGTTTTTTAATAACTAACTTAGAGAAAACTCACTGTACTGGGATCTGAAAGGTGAATGGGTAGACATGGCAGCCTGGGGGAATAACAGTATTGCCTGGGAAATAATAAAACAGTCACTTACTGTAGCTTTCATTTCCAATTAAGGAAAGTCTTGGACCAGCCTTTTCAGTTTTCTTATTTAAACACTCAGTTTGTTAGTTTCAATGATTAGGGGGAAAAGTAGTACAGCAGAAAATTCTCTGGTTTTATTTGTGTGTCTGAATAAGTTTAGAGATAGATGCCAATTAAAATTTTGACACTTCAGATTCACTTATTATTGTTCATTACTAACAAACAAAATCCTCTCGTGTAATGGAAAGAAAAAAAAAGGAGAAAGAAAAACAAAAAGCCACAGTACTACATGGTTTAAAAAAAAAATATTGGGGGTTGACTTGCACCGTAATTAAAGTTGCAAGAAAAAAAATATGATTACAGGCAGGGGCGATTCTAGGATCAGAGCTTTGGGGGTGCTGAGCACCCAGAGAGCTGCTCAGCCAGGCAAGATAAACTTTACTCATCACGATGAGACTTCTTCCCTGTCTCTGTCAGTCCCTGCGTCCTTAAATGTCTCCAGTTGTACAGTGTTTCCTCTGACTGTCTCCTTGGTGCATTTAAACCCCTGTTCCTTCCTGTCCTCATCATCTGTTGTCTTCATTTCCATTATCAGTCATCATAATTTTACCATCTCTGTGCAAGTCTGCAAATTTCTTTATTAAATCATAAGATTCTTAAATTCATCAAGTCTCTCTGTGCCTGGGTCCTCGTCACAAAACATGACATCACTGTTTTGTACATTTTAACACAATTTAATCCCCACATTTGTGAAAGAAAAGCAAAATACTTTTTTTTAGTCTGTAACAAAACCATCAAATCTGATAAAGGTTATTTAAATGCTGCAAAAGAAGAATGGATTGGAATTTAAAAAAAAAATACATATCCTTACCTTAATTACTTTGGGAAAATTATGAATGATGATCATAGTGAGTAAGAAGTAAACTGAGTGCATTTTTTGGACAGAGATTCACTTTTAATGTGTATGTATAATATAATACAGATACATAAAAAAACACTCCAAAAATAGAGTCCTTGAAATGTACAAATGTACAAAATATTGATAGAAAAATTATAAAAATGGAGGCAACTTTGCCTATGGTACAATGTATGAAAAGATCTTTACTGCAGATACTACTATGGCTCTGCAGATTTTTTATTTTATTTTAACCTATGTGGCCTCACCTTGAGGTTGGCAAATCTGTCTATCACTTTTTGGTGGTCAACTCTCTCAAGCAGTTTAACAGTTTCTGTTTTGCCTGTTAGTATTCCCTGTCTGTTTCCTTACCTGGTTCTTCCTGACCTTGTACTTTCTCCTCATGTCCCCTCTTTCCTCTCTCCCTCTTTGGACTGATAATAATACACAAATAGATTGTATTCAATTAGATGAAAAAAAATCACTATTAAGATCACTAATAAAAAAAAGTCCTCTCTCAGTGTACTTTCAAACAAAAGGCAAATAACCAAACCAAATGTACATCTAATAAAAGATATAAATATTGAAACACTGATCCAACATTATTCTTGATGGACAGATCATTTGTTCTTACACTTTTACCTGAATGTTGCTCCTGGGTTTAATATCGGCACATATGACAAAATAACCAGCTTCTCTCCTTCCATTTCAAACAGGACAATGGTAACAACAGCAGGCTACGGACAATATAAAGTTTTAGATTTTAAATAGGCTGTATAAATTTCATTGGGAGCAACAGGACGGTCAAATGTCGCTGATTTTACTACAGAGCAGGACGGATTGTAGAGTAGCAAACATCGTCGGAAAACACGTTTTCAACACAGCAGGTTACCTGGTGTAATGTTTTTCAGCTAAAAAGAAACATGGTCTGACTCCTACCAACTATATAAAGAGTAACTGAAGGTTAAATGCAGCTAATATGTCCTGTTTAAGCCAGGCACTAAAACCTCAGCTCCGCTGCGTCTCAGCCACCATCGCTCTGGCAGAAAGGACGCTAGAGCCGGAGCAGGAGAGAGGTGAGCTGGAAGAAACCATTTGGGGGGGCGGGGGTTATCTTTACTTTTGTTGTTAAAATGTTCCGTCTCAATTAAGTACTGTATGCTTTTTATATTTTTAGTAGTGTGTCCCACAAACACCAAATATTGTCAGAAAAAAGTAAGAAATCTTTGGGGGTGTTTTGATTCATTTTGGGGGTGCTTCATGAATTAATCACCTGATTACAGGTGATTAATTCATTGAAAGACATAAGCGTACTTACCTTGAGATTCCTGAATGACAAACTGCTTGATGGTAAAGTATTTGTCTTTGCTGTGATAGGTTATGACAGTTTTTCCATAATATTCATTCCATAAGACTTCCGCCTTTCCCTTCAGCTTTACAAAGAGTGACTGTATTTTGCACTCCTGTGACTACTCCAGTGTAATTTGCCCTGTAATATAATCGCCACTAGCAAAAGTATTGCTTTTGTTAATGGGATCATATCCCACTAAAAAGCTCTTAATAATATTTGGCATAACGCTATCAAACGCTGCACAGTGCTACAAAAACAGCAAGTGCCAGCTAAGTGTGAGCAGCGAGGTTTTATATCTCATGACGAGAGGCATCTTACAAAGAGCTTTGGTAATAATTAAACCACAGGGACCTAAATAAGTGCTAGCACGTGGTTCTCCCGGACCACCTGTTGTGGGATTGTTGGAAAACTTTGAGCAATATATATGATCATGTGATTCAACAGGGGAAATATTAAATATTTACTTAAAGGAGGCTATTAAAAACAAATAAATATAAAATATGTCTTCTTTGGGAAAGCCACACCCAAGCCCTCTACTCTTGAGCTATGTTTGTTTGCTTGTTTGTTTATTTGTTTATTTTTTTTACGTGAACTGTAATCTGTCTAGTCTGAGCTGTATGTAGGACCTCACCTAACACATTCAAACTTGGCCTGGAGTTAATCTCAACTAAAAATCTGAAAAGCTGTGTGAGTGGATCTGGTAAAAAACGCTGTTCTACCAGGTTGACAAAATCTGTCCGGAGACATGCATATGAAGACCTTCCGAAGCAGGCCGCTATAGAAACGTTTTAGGAAAGAAATCTGGTGTAAATATGAGCATGTTGTTTCTGTAAGTGAATGAATGATGAAATTGAAATAATGCAGTTTCCTCAATGAGGTCACTGTTACCATGTGTACAGTAAACAGCATTACTCACGTGGTAGCACGTGATATTCCTAAATCACCTGTTGTGGGTGTGTTAAACTTTACACTCCCAAGCATGGGTCATGTGACTACACACAGTGGAAATACTCCAGGGAAATATGAAGCATTTAACGGTAGTGTTACAGAGTGTAGCCAAAATGAAATCTTTATTCTTCTTATTTGAGATTTTTTTAAGGTTGTGTCTTTTTACAAAAGAGATGATAAATATATTTCAACTGTGTTTTCTTCTAATGCTTTCTGGACTGAAATCGACTCTTCGTAGCACATGACAATTGAGTCTACTACTTATTATACTGCATGCCATTTCATTGCACATATCATACACCTGATTTGATGCAAACGTCGTTGAACTTTCACATCAATATAACTATATTATTTTCAATTATTGTGGTGTGCCTTGATGATCTGGTTTGTCCTCTGACAGTTTGAAAATAGTATAAGGATGTCAGCAGGTTGTGAATATTAATATTAATCCTGTATTAAACTTGTAAAGAGACTAATATTGATCCTGTATATTTGATTTCAGCAAGTAATTGCAGACTACAGGATGCTGAGAAACCAAAAAGTAAGGGAATTTTAAAACCACACCAACATACCAATATATATTTTTCATTACATGTAATATAGGAGATGTAATTTCTGTCTACCCTAATGACCACTGCAGATTGTTGCACACTTTTCATCTTAATTGTTATGTTAGTTGTTAGTTATGGATCATGAAGGGAAAGTGGCAAACAGAGACTGAGTTCTATGTCTCTGGGTAAGAGGTAAACTGCTAAATTGCACCTTTTCATCCTTAAACCTGCACGCTGCTGCCCTCTATGGGAAATAAGATGGGCTGCAGCATATTTACAACCAGGGCACAGTAGCACAACAGCAAGCTCAACTAGTCTGATAACACACACGGCCATCAAATTTTAGTTGAAGCTCATGTGTGTTATTTAATTTATGCAAATACTACATTAGATCACCCTAATGCTAGCACTAATTAAAATGGTTCTAAAAGTCTGCATATGATGGACCCTAAGGGGGTGACATCATTGAGATAATAATAAAAGAATGTTTCTGTTTCTGTTCTGTAAATAATGTTAATAGCAAGTGAGCATTAACCATTTTTTATCTGGAACAAAAAGACACAACCTACCTACTGTAGGAGCAAATCCCAACTCCCCCCAACATTTGACCTCATTTTGTCTTAAAGCAGTTTTTTTTTTAAATATATATGATGTAAAATTCTTTATCTGTTCAACTGAGAGCAGCACTCTGGCGCTGCTCATAAGCTTAATTCACCATGGCAACTAGTCCCAGATAACGTGGAAGTTGTTGAACTCCAGACCACTTAGAGAAGTTTCCTTCCAGTGAAGTCATTTATTTGACATAAATTGTAATTAGTATACTGGACTGAAGGAAGTTCAAACCACTGATCTCCCATTAGCGAATAATCTATTTGAGCTACAATCATTCCAGCTACATCTCCAGGACCACATACACAAAAACATAAACAGACACTCAAAGCCTGAAAATAATGCAGGTCATGCTGTTTCAACTCATAGTTCTTTTGTTTACTATTTACAATGCAGTCTATTGGTATCACAATCTTTAGATTATCTGAGACAATCTCTGAAAGATGCTCTGAAAGAGTGTACTGAGATTAGGTATTTTCTATTTTAACATGAGTTTAAACAAAAAAAAGGAAAGCTTTGATCATTTTTTAAAAGTGAAATTTAACTATGGTGAATTTGATCTCTGACCCTGAGGCATACTTCACATACAGATGGAGATTAGATGTAAGTCTTACTCTTCTCAAAATCAGAGAGAACAGGAAACTAAAACCATAATTTGCATGGGCTCAGTAAAATTGGACAATAGAAGATTCTCTGTCTTTGCTTCTTTTTCCTCTCAGGTTTGGAGTGAGCTGGCTCCTCAGCTTTTTCCTGGGATCATGCTTGCCATCAGCTCGTTTAATCTGCAGTATTTAAAGAACCTGCGCTCTCTGCCAGATCATTGCCTGCTCAGTGGTGGTGCTGCAACACAAGGCTACCAATTTATTCTCTCTCCTCTTGCCTTTGTTGTGTGTTCCCGACTAGTTGTTTGGTGTTATAGTCGCTGGGAAAAACTCAAGCTGACTCCTACAAATCCTACTCATCTGAATCCCTGAGCTAGTTTACTTATGCTAAAAGAGAAACACTGTCACCCACCTGCCTCCCCACTCTCCTCAGTGCTCTCTGGCCTTCTCTCCCCTCAACTTGCTGTAGTAATCAATCCAAGACTCTACATGACTTCATGCAATCAAAGTAACCCTCACCGATCTCTAGCTTGATCTCTCCTCTTCAGCAGAAATCACTGCGTCACCCCTTCAAAGAGTGCACTCACCTGTTAAACTGTTAGTGAGTCCTGCATTGAAGTCCATATTTACTGACATTATGACTGTTTTGGCACTAAAAAGTACTAAACTCATTCCAACACAAATATAGCTGAATGGCCTGAAGCAAGTATTTAATGTAAAGAAAGCCTCCTACATAAAATTTTCATGTGTGTTATTAACACATTTTCTAAAAGGCACATGTCCCACATTAAGCAGGTAATGAGTGAATCGTTTACTAAGCTGAGATTTTTGGCTGTAATCTTTGTTGCTGCAGGATACTGATGTTGTGTTCACTCACATATGTGGGATCAGATTCAGATTCAGGCTCAGGGATTTGTAAAGTTACCTGTTGTGATGCCATAGCTCTGCAATAGAAAAGCCTCACTTCTGGAGCAAGCGATAAGCATTTTACGTGTTTTCTTTAATAATTTATACAATCTAATAAGTATATTATCCAGTTAGGTTTGCTGTTAGCAAAATTTAAGTTACTTGTGTTCCTAGCGGGTTTGCCAGTGATAATTTTCAAATGCACTAGCTAACTTCTCGGCTAATGCTAATTGAAAGCTCAGACAACATCATTGGCCATTTGCAATGTTGATGATGATGCAGGAACAACACCAACATGGAGATAACAGATTGTGCATGGACAACATGCAACATCAATGGTCACTGATCCTGATGTGAAGAGCTTCATCTTCATATCTTCCTCAGTCGTCTTTCTCGATCCCAGTGCGTCTATACACCTCTCTGCATTAATCATTACTTATTATTATTCGCTGACTCTTTTCCACAGCATGTCTTTTGTGCAGTCTTCCTCCAATCACCTCAATCAGTCGCAGCCCCAGTGGCTGTCCCTCCCTGAGCCTGGTTCTGCTAGAGGGTTCTTCCTGTTTTTCCTTCCCACTGTCACCAAAGCGCTTGCTCAGGGGGTCAGGAGTTTCCTGTGTTTTCCTTGTATCTTTTTATCTCTTTTGATTATCTTAAATGTACAGCACCTTGGTCAACAGTTTTTGTTTTAAATGCACTAAATAAATAAATTTGATCTTGTATTATTGTAGGTCTTTACCTTACAATATAAAGCACCTTGAGGCAACTGTTATTGTGATTTGGCACTGGATAAATAAAACTGAACTGAATTGAAATCTTCTTATCTTGGCTGTGGAGTCTTACAGGAAAATCACAAACTGGTTACATGCAGTATTAATATTCCTTACAGCAAACTCAGTGGGGGGGTGTTGTCTGGCAGTTTGTAAGGGTACCATGGATGAGAGTGAACTGCCTTTGCTTTGCTGTCTTTTCTCATCAAGCAGCTCAGATTTGCCTCCACTTCATACAAAGCCTTTCCCCCTGAAGGAGGACGTCAGCTCTTTGTGAGATGCGACCACAAACTGTACAAATCAAACTGGGTGAGTGACAGGACATCTTTCAGAAAAGAGAGAACACACTTGAAAGTGTTAATCCTTAAAGTCTGTGGTAATAATAGTTTTTCCCAATACATTTCAGAGACAACTCACTGTGAAGGGGCTTGAAAGGTGAATGGGCAGACATGGCAGCCTGACTGGAACCTAAAACAGTCATTTAAAGAGCTTTTCATTTCTCATTAAAGAAAGGCTTATAAACAGACTCTTGGATTGCTCTTGTCACTGTGGTTTGCTAATTTTACTGAAGGACGGTTTCCACCATGAGGAGGACAAACTAGGAAACAAATTTAGTAAGTCTTCCTTGTATTATTTGTGCTACTAGTTTGAATAGGAAAGGATTACATTTACGTCTTGGGAAAAAAAGATCATCTTACAACTCTCAGGGTTGGATTTTGTAAACTGTAAGACTATGTTTAGCGTGTAGACTAGTTTTGTCAAAATACCAGAAAGGCAAAAGAAAAATGATTTTGTAATACAAATTTTAAAAAATGAAAGACATAGAAAAGACAAAGAAAGACCAAAAAGGATCTATAAAACCTTATAAAAGCATTACGTTATTTTCATTTCACCTACTTTATAATTATTATGCCATCACACTGCCTTGCAACCATTTAGCAAAAGACTAATCTGTTATAGTGGAGCAGGACTTTGGCTTATTTTTACAGTTTGCCTCAATATACTTTGATAAGTTTGATAGCATATGAGGATGGACACACCACAATGCATAGAAAAAGCAAGGGTTCAAAAAAGTAAGTACAGTTACTTTTGAAAATGAAAAAACAATTTACTACCCCTATTTTTTTTTATTCCTCAATATGATTAAGTACATCAGTTTTCTAGCTGCACAAAGCACAGACCCAATAATATTGGCCCTATACTATGGTCCTGTACTAGTTAATGAACAATGCAAGAAAAACCAAAATAAAATCAATCAATCAAAAAAAAAAAACTTACTTACCCTGACCTTCCTCAGTGATAAACAGTTTGTCTTGAGTGTATTTTGCACATTTGTAATTTATCCTGTCAGAAAATCACTATTGTTGAAAGAATTGCTTTTATTTCTGGGGGTCATATCCCGCTGAGGAGGTCTTAATATTATTTGGCATAACATCCTACTGAGTACTACCGGTACAATAAAGTGATACGTGAGACAGAGAGGATGGAGGTTTTATGAGCAGGTGATGAGGAAGGAATTTGCTGATAGATACTTGGGTTTAATTAATAATTAAACAATATGACCCCTAAAAATGTACTGATTTATGCATAGTTTTGTTGTTGCTGTTGTAGTTAATTTGACTAGCGCTGATATGCAAATTCACTAAGAGCTAAATACTACATTTAAAAGCAGTGTGGCCTGTCAGCCCTTTACCTAAAACCTAAGAAAAGCAAAATAAAAGCTACATGATACTGATAATAATAGTAGTTGTGAACCACGCAGGCTTGTTCTTTTTTAACTTAAACATTTCGTTTCATGTACCTCTTTTTCCGGAGACAAACTTGTTTTTGTTTTGAATTCCCACGATTTAAATTGAGTGGCTTCATGATTGTTTTTGTTTACTGTTGTTGTTCTAGTCACAATAAATGAAAATGTTACACAAAGAAAATGAGTGAAATCAGACAGAATAAAATAAAAAGAAGTTAAACCTTTTCTGCTGAGTCAACTTTGCCTTAAATATTATGTTGATTTGCAGGTACAATAAACTTTCTAAGCATATATTTGAAATGCAGTTGCTTGTTCGAATCAAATCCATCCAGACTTTATCCCGAGTCTTAAGCCACTTTTGGTAGTTTTCCCATCCATCTTTGTTTAACATCAACCATGAGCTGGACCTATTATGCTTAATTCAAAGTTAAAAAATAATCTTTATAAGCAGTAAAATCGATTATTTCTACTGTGTAGACAACCCTCCCTTAAAGCAGGCTTTCTTCTGATTGGATGTCTCCTGAGATGACCACATTATGAGTATCCCTTCTTGCCAGCATCACAAAGACCCAAGAGGCAAAATGTTACAGTGATTACTTGTAGATACACTAACCTAATTATTGGCCCAAATATTACCATCAACATACACCACATCATCTTTAAGAGAAAGAAATACATCACACACACACACACACACATATGTTCTACTAATTTTTTTACTAATTAATAACAAATTTTTATTTCTATAAACAGTTGAAATGCAAATGATGACAATATAACATGCAGCATACCAGTATATTTTGTGAATATGTACATATAAATTTATAAATTTGATAATTTGTCCAAAACTGGACTAAGACACATCATGTAGATGGAAAGAAAGATTTCCAATTCTAAGACTTTCCAGTTTTAACATCCTTTACCTGGCTATTCTCCTCCAGTCTTGCAGTTTATACTGGCTCTCTCCATTAAAATTTAGTGTTAGAAACTCCATAGTATGATTTATTAAACTTCTGACAGCCATCACATATTTTCTCAGAGATGGAAAGGTCAAGGATTTTATTAAACTTACACCAACACTTATTGACCTTCACCCGAATGCAGTGATATACGCTGTGACTCATGACGTCGCGTCTACCATGGCAGCTTTGCAGTACAGCACACCTTATACAAATACATTCACAATAACATGTGAAAATTGGTAACAGGCGGCTGTAGGGATGATTTTAAAAAAAAAAAGTGGAATTTGAGATTAAGCATAAACCTGATGTACATCAAACATTGCACTCAAAACACATAACACATGTAATAAACTGTACAAGAAGCATCAGTAAACACACATACAGACACATAAAAGCATACAAATATACACAGTCTTCTGACACAGGTGTGGGAATATATTTGAAGTTCTGTAAGAGCGAGTACTGAAACCACCCGCACCAGATTTGGATCTTATTCTGAGTGTTGTTACAAGACCTCTGCCTGATGGCCTTAGAGGCCTTAGTGGGATTTAATAAATGAGTAAGCCATCGCCGTACTAGGAACACAAGCATAAAGGTGCTCTATTGACTATTGAAAGGATTTTGAGTGTATTACTTCAATCTACTATCAACATGAAAATGTAAAGTTAAGGTAACACATAATTAGTATAACCAGTCATATATGGCAAAATATTTTAATTATTTATGCCTACTAAAAATGGTGATAGGCTGTATCATCTTCATTAACCAATTCATCAAACAAGTATCATCAGCACACGATAAAATCTAGGCAGAGCTGATTTTTCTATCTGTGATCAGACAGCAGTAGCTGCTTTCTGCTTCAATGATACACCAGATATCCCAGTTTACAGGGATATCTGGTGTATCATTTACAATACACCAGATATCAGTAACCTGTGAAGCAGACTAAAAGAAACTGTAAACTGTTTACAATTTGTCTCTAGCACAAACAGTATCTAAGTTATTTAAAGTAAAAAGGTCAACAGGTAAAGAAAAATGGTTAAGATAAAATGAAAGATGCATCGAGGTCATCAGAGGAAATTAACATGTACAACTGCATGTCATCAACATATGAATGGCATATGAACAGTAACACGTGTAGGAAGAGCAGTGGGGATATGCTCCATGTGGATCCCCAAAAACACCTTGTGTTGCCGCACAAAGGGAAAATAAAAGGCTGGTGAAAACATCACGCTCGCT